GTCTTGTTGCGCCTATCTATTGGTCTCGTGCCAGCCGCTGAAAACCCTCAAGGTTTCGCGTTTAGGCTTTCGTGCTTTCTCCGCCACTGGGTCGGCGGACTGAGCCGGAGGCTCTTAAGTTTAGGAATTTAGGGTTTAGGAGTTTAGGGTTCAGGAATTTGGGGTTTAGGGTTTAGGAATTTAGTGTTTAGGGTTTAGGAATTTAGGATTTAGGAGTTTAGGGTTTAGAAATTTAGGGTCTAGGAGTTTAGGGTTTGGGAATTCATGGTTTAAGGTTTAGGGCTTAGGTATTTAGAGGCCTCTGGGCATCTGCCTTGCCTTGGAGCAGGTTGACGCTAAACCTACTTGAGCTCTAGTCTAAACTCCTAGTATCCCCCTTCATAATCCCTATAGTAGTCCCCCATATAACCCCTTTTAAGGAGTTTAGATTATGGCTCACTTGAAGCCTGACTCAGAGGCCTACATCACAAGTGCAGAAGTTGTGCGAGCACTCTGGTGCTTGCTAGCACGGCTGCCGTCGCCTGCGACATCTGCACATCCCAGTAAGAAACCCGGGTAATGCCAAAACTGGCCTTCTCCTTGGCTTGGGATAGGTGACTCTCCTCCCACACGGCTGCAAGGTTGCACAAGATGTTCAATGTAAAGTCGCAACCGCGCCGCGCACTGCGCAATCGCACCCCAAACCGCGAAACAACAATACAGTTATCAATGTTGTTTTCTCCCAATCCTTTTCAGGCTCAGCGCAGGTGGGTTTCTAGGTTTTAACCGAACCGGAACTCTATGAATCACAACGCTTGCAAGGAATCACCAAGACACAGTCATCGTGAGATGAGGACTGAATGCGCATCAGCAAGAGATCCTGCAGACATAAACCCTAGCCTAAACCCTAAAGCTAGGAACCTAAGCCAATACATGCCCTAAATCCCAAAACCCTGGCCCCAAGTGCTAAGCCCAACAAAGTGACAGCGCCTGATCGAACGGCATGCTCCAGCTTTCAGCAAAGGCCCGCACCTCCAACACAGCCAGCGCGTTAGGGAACCAATAACCCTAAACCCTAAACTCCAACCCCTACCCTCTGGGGGTGAAGCCCCTACGTACATTAGGGAACCTAGGGACCTTGGGGATTATTACAAGGTTCATGCTTTGGATCCATTAGGCGTGTGGGCAGATGACCGCACATAATAGGTTTTAGGCCTTCAGGCAAAGATTGATTATCGGGAAATGGCCGGCATTGAATCTTGCAGTCAAAAGCCTGAAGGGTTTGGTGTTCACGGCTTGGGGCTCGAGATAACAAGCCTGAGGGATGTCTCAGGTGTTGGGAACCCCTTTTTGGCGAGGAAGTTAGACTCCGTAGGAAGAGCCCTTGGTGTCATGTAGCAATGCGATCACAATCTGCTTAGAAGTTCGGGATACTTCCTTTTTTCTCGATTAGGCAGCAGCTTAGTGATGTTAATTGGTAAAATACCAGGTAAAGATCCCCTACCCCATGCTTAGTGGGGAATGAGGGCATAGAACCAAGAGTGGTCCGTATATCATCCCTGAATAGAGTCCCTACGACCCAACCATGCAGCAGCAGCAGCAGCAGCAGCAGCCAAAGCCACCAGCAGCAGCAGCCAAAGCTACCAGCAGCCAGCACCAGCATCAGCCGGGGTAGGCAGTGGGAGTGGCACAGTCACTGGTGGCCGCCGCCGCCACGTCAGCAGCATACAAACAACGACCACCTCACCCACCACACCGACTTTGGCGCCTCCTGACGCAGGATGTCCTTGACATTCTGCTTCCTTAGTTGCTTTTCATTTCTGGGTCTTGGTAGGTTCAGGACTTTGAGGGTTAGGTTGCTCTAGGATGCTGTGTCCTGTGTGAGGATCTGAGCGTTATCTGCATGAAATCCAGCTCACGGCCCAGGGAAATCGTAAGTCTCAGTCCGTCAGCTGAAAGGAACATCCAGCTTCCTCGGGAACCCTAATCCCCTCGCTATGTTAGAAGGCTCTTTTGAACTGTAGTAGGCCTAAAATCCGATCGATCCCGCAAGTGATCGCAGATTTGTGTAGAACGATGGGTTCCATTTTGAAGTGTTCCTTTCTGTGTGCCCTACATCATCAATGATAAACCCCAAAATCCCGACACCCTAAACTGGGTTGGCACCTAAAAACCTTTGAAAATATTAGTATATAGGGTCCTTTACTACAGCCATTAGGGAAAACGTTAAATATCCCAGGGGCCTACCCAGTAAACCCTGTCTAAACCCCAAAAACCTTATCGCTCCACAGTCCTAAGCCATACAATCTAAGCAATCCGAAGCCCTAGACCCCAATCTCAACTTATCTCGACAAATAATTACGCCGTTAAGGGTTTAGGTTAGGAGGACCCCCAAGCCTGTAATAGTGAGTGAGTCTAAGGGATAATAACGATTATATTAGGGTCCTATTATATTCCTACTATACCACTATTACAGGGTCCTCCTAGGGTTTAGGATTTCTCTTCCAGGAAAAATCTTCCGGGCTCCAGACTACAAAACAACAACAAAACTCACAGAGTCCAGGGTTTAGGCTTCTCTTACCGACCCCTTGAAAAAGACCGGTTTAGGGTTTAGGGTTTAGGAATGAAGGAATGGAAACTACTATACTGGGTTATATAGAGACTACTATAAGGATCCATTCCTTCATTCCTTGCTAGCCCAAGGCGAATGAAGGGCCAGTAGTTGTGCTGGTATGAGGCTTCTGGGGCACTGAAACCCTGAACAAAGTTCAAGGCTCCATGCTCGCTCCCTTTCACACCGCGCTACATGAAGGTTCATGGCGATTTCCAGGGGGTCTGCACGAAGAATCATGGTTATAGCTCCCCTTGAAAGGCATCTCAAACTTAGAGAAAAGTCCCTTACCAACCTTGTCCTGGGTTTCCTTCAGAGTTATCACTCAGGAGGACCCCCCCCACCCTGTGATAGCGGTATAGCAGGAACACAAGAGGACCCTCTTATCCCTTGTAGTCACTATTATTGGGTGGGGGGTTCAGCTGAAGTATCTCCTACAAAGGAAATTATCCTAGAGCTTAGCTGCAGCTATACTAGCCTGCTCCACACAATTTGCAATCCAACGCTAATCCCTAGGCCCTAACAGACCCTATGTGTTCCTATATCCCTTTTGCACCCCGTTAACTAGGTTCCCGAGTAACGCCTTACGAATAAGGGTGCCCTTTTCCTAGTGTTGAGCTTTAATGAGAAGACCCCAAAATGAAAAGGGAAAAGGGTACTACTGGGACACCTGTCAAACTTCAAAAGCCTACACCCCAAGACTTTGATCCACATGCAAAGACTAGGATCAGTTGTCGTAGGCGTTCTTCCCAGTTGAGTTGTCCCACCTCTCACTTTAGGGCTTCGGGCACAATTGAGGTCTGATTAGCAGTCTGACACGACTGTCTGGAAGCCATCTAAGTTAATCATCATTGCATCGGACGCAATTCATTCTCCCAAGATAGCGATCTGGATTTTTTCCAAAATCAGCGGGCCCCTTTTGGGGTCCCATATCCTAATGATGAGAATATTTGGGGCGGGAACCCGCATTCTTGAAAAGAGCCATCTGGATTTAGGGTTTTGGGGTCCAGGCTGCTGTTGTGTTGCTTCAGGAGCACCCACCAGTAATCCCCTCCCCTAATATTAAAGACCCCTCCCCCAAATATCAAATACTCCCAATATACTATAATATACCACATAATGGGAGTATTTCATATTAGGAGCACCCACCACTACAGCTGTGGGAGGGCAGTTCCGAGCGGAAATGCGAGGTTTCGGGTTCCTAACCCTAAACCCTAAGCCCTGAGGTTAGAGTTTAGAGCGTAATGTTTGGGGTTCAGGGACGCCTCACCGAGGCACCCATCAAGATCTAATCTCTGTCTTCCTGAGAGAAGCTATCGTTTGGGCACAAATACGAAGCCTTTGCTAATTTCCACCAAATGGCAATCAACAATCTAAGCAAAGCTCCCTTGTCCGTCAACGCGCTTGCTGGATAAACCTCCTTGTAAACCCTCAGCCCACAATCTACAGGGGGTTAGTAGAACATATATAATGTAAGGGAGCGAATTATCTAGGGATTGTATTTCCTTCTTCCCTAGTAGTAACCACCCGTAAGATAACAGATTCGAGGCTTAGAGGTGGACCCTAAACCCTGAACCCTACACCCCTAACCCAGAGGGTCCATGTACCCAAAAATTAGGTGCTTGGACAGGTTTTGGGCAAGTAGATGATTATTAGGTGCTTGAACCTAAACCCTAATCCCTAAACCCCTACACCCTAAACCCCTAAACCCCTTACCACGAATATTTCAAGGAACTTCAGATGCAGCTGCACAGAGTGAGATTTGGCTTTGGGCTGCGCCAGGTTTGGGATTTGAGGTTTAGGGTTGAAGGTTCAAGGTTGGCAGTCTGGGGTGAAGGGTTGTGGTTTTAAGGTTTAGGATTTAGCGTTTAGGGTTATTTAGGGTTTTGAGGATTTAAAGTTCAGGATTTAGTGTTTAGTGTTTAGGCTTGAGGATTTAGGGTCTAGGATTTAGTGTTTAGGGTTGAGGATTTAGGGTTTACGATCTAGTGTCTAGGGTTGAGGATTTAGGGTTTAGGGTTAAGACTTAAGGTTTAGAATTTGAGGTTTAAGATTTACAGCAGGGTTTAGGGTGAGTAGCATTTGGCAGTGATTGGGGAAGCTAAAGATACATGAGTTGTCCCACCGCAAATCCTAAACCCCAAACCCTAAACTGCCTAGATCCCCCAGCCCTTGGCCTCGGCTGGAGAGCCCGTCTTTGTGGATGCCATGGCGCTGTCCGGGCTGGAGGTATTGCGATCTTCCTCCTGGCGAGTTTGATTCCCTTCAAGGGGTAAGGGCTTAGGGTTTAGGATGTTGGGTTTAGGGTCTAAGATTGAGGCAAGAATAGAGCATCACATGCAGAAGAACATGAAAATAAAAGAGTTAATCAGGAACTAGATAACTACCCTAAACCCTACACAATGGGAATTTGGGGTACTTCAGTTTCTAGCAATATGAGCATTGCAAGTGGGTGTTGCGATCTTCCGCCTGCTCTGGGCAGGTTTAGCTATGCGAAAATGGAAAATTACATAAACCCTAAACACATCAACAGTCAACGGCTTCAGTTGAAGGGTTTTACTAACACCAAGAATTTATACTTTTCGGTCGTTGGAACTGGAGGTCAACTATTTGGAGGGTTCTCAAATGGGCAGCTGGTCCGATACTTTCGTCAGCTTATCCTGCCCCTAGACCCTAAACCCTAAACGGTTTGCGAATAGCCTCACGTTTTTGGTGGCTTCGCGTCTTGTGGCTGTCCGCGTTCGACCGCTTTTTCGTAAGCGGCTCCACTGCACCCTAAGCCCTAAACCCCTAACCCTAAACCCTTAACCCTAAACCCTAAACCGCTGCTTCCTCGTCGTCGGAGATGTTGTGCTGCCAGCCCTGCCATCCTCCTTGGTCCTGCCATCCGCCCTGGTCTTGCCGGGTCCATTTTAAAAAACCATGATAAACCATAATATATCACAATATACCATAATATGCTATAATATACCATAATATGCCATACTATACTATAATATACCATAATATAGCATACTATACTATAATATACTATCATATACTATAATATACCATAATATACAATGATATACTATAAAAGACAATGATATACCATAATATACTATACTATAAAGTCCATGCCTGATCCCTAAACCCTAAACCCTAAACCGTGTGTGGGAAGCCATCCCCCTAGCCTCGAAGATTGCATGGGCGGGGACTGGACATCCACGTCGCTGCCAAGGTGGGCCGTGACGGGATAATCTAGAGTCTAGGCTTCAGGTAAACCCTCCCCTAGCCCTCAAATTTAAATTTAAGTTACTACATTAAGGAAGCCACTATTTACTAGATATACTCATTATGAGAACTTAACTTAAGTTCCTTAAACCCTACACCCTATAACCCTGAACCCAAACCCTAAACCCTAAGCCCTAAACCCTAAAACCTCATCCTCAGACCCCAATGAGCCCTATGTCCTACTTCAGGGTCAGGACCAACGACAAGAGGGGAGTTCCAACGGGCGGAGTTTGTAAAGGTATGTAGGGGTGAATTTTATAAGGGCTAAATAAAGCTAACATCGTAATTGCTTTAGAAAAAGCCCGAGGCCCAAAACTCAAATGCCCAAACCCTCAACCTCCAACTCACCAAAGGACGACAATCATGGAGAATCACATGGAAAAGGGACTATGGGAATATATCATATAATTAGGGGTTACATTCCCGTATTCCCTACTAAGAGCCAGTATGCTATAGTGGTTTGAAGGGACAACTAAACCCTGAACCCTAACACCTAAACCCAACCCCAGAACCTGCCTCTTTGCCCCAGCGACATTTTCGGCCACCAGCACCCCTCGGCGAGCTGCCACCCTCGGCGGCGGATCGGGGTTTAGGGTTTAGGACCCCTTTGAATGAGGGGGTAGGTTCGGGTTTAGGATGTGCAAGGACTGGGGGGCTCAGGGTATGAAAGGCAAGTGGCAAAATGTTAATTTTTAGTTTCGAGTGGTTCGCTTTTGGAAACGGGTCCCACTTTACGGGCTCAATGGGGGGAACCCGTGAGGGAAGCTCCGTTTCGAAAAAGTCCAAGCATAGAGGAAGTTCTATGCGTACTGGGATTATCTTCACTCTGGTCGCACAGACAATAGAAGACGCGTTTTTCTCCGCATGATGGGCCCTTTTTGGTTATAGATTATATTACGGCACCTGATATGTAGGTGTACCAAAAAAGAGAGCGTAATCTGAATCTTAAACCTAAACCCATAATGCTTCGTTTACCGCGTTCTCGGGTCTGGTCCTCCTTCTGCGCCCTTCTTTGGGGTTTAGGGTTTCGGGGCGATTAAGGGTTCCAGCTCAGGGCTACTACCACAAAACATGGATTACCACCGGAGGGTTGCATTGAAGCCGCTTCATCCGCCAACAGCTTACTGCTCCCGGTTTATCAAGAAATCCATAGCTGCTATCTCTTGGGCACTGCCCCCACCCTGCAACAGTCTATATTAGCGGTCATACCACGGCTTAAATAGAACTATTATGTTAAAAATACTGTCCAACTGCTACAGACTGGGGGCAGGACCCAAACTATCCCCATCCCACAACTCTGGCACAACAGTTCTTGTAAGCCCCAAGCCCCCCAGATACTATAGCAGTTTCCACTCGCTTTCCTATTCCCCGATATACCCCTCATATGCACATGTAAGGTTGGAGGGAGAGGATTACCCTAAACCCTAAACCCCTAAACTCCTAAACCCTTAACCCGTAAACCCTGAAATGATAATTAGTGTTAAGGGATAACTCTGCAGCTCCAAGGTCGGCCGAATCAGTCTCTGAGGCTTCTGTTGGGCGTCTATCCCCAGGCATAAAACAGTCACATGAGCCATAGTCTAAACTCCTTCTTGGGGTTATATAGGGATAATGGAAAATAAAATGGAAACTACTATATATTGGGGTTATATAGGGGATTCTATAGGGGACTATTATAGGCTTTACCTAGACCCTCCAATGTAGTACCTTTTTGGGTTTGGTAAGGTTTTTTGGTTAGGACTCTTATTAGGACTACCAAAAAGGTACTACATTGGAGGGTCTAGTCTAAACTCCTTCAAGGGGATTCTATAGGGGACTATTGTAGGGGTTAATTCCGGGGATACTAGGAGGCTAGACAATGGCTTATATGCAGCCTCCTAAACCCAAAACCCCAAAACCCTCAACAATTTTGTTGAGTGGATACTCTTGTCACGGTGCTCCCGTGCGAGTTGGTTTCCAGCCCAAAGACTTCTCTCGTGCTTAGGGTTAGGGACCGGGGGTTTAGGGTTTAGGGTAGGACTGAGGGCTTCGGTTTTGGGGTTGGCCTACCTCGTGCAGGAAACCTTGTGAGGACTATCCTCGAATCTCAGTATGGGTCCTATGTAATCCGTGCAGAACATCCTCCCCGCTCCCAAGATGAGAGTTGATATGGACTGTAAGAAACCCCCACGCCCAAAACAAAGATCCTCCGACAACCATATATGAGCTATAGTGTGAATTCCTAGTATCCCCTTCATAACTCCGACAATACTCCTCAATATAGTCCCTTACAACACGCCCTTGAGGGAGTTCAGACTCTACCGCATATGATAATCGCGTTCTTCATTTCCAGGGTTGGGCCATGGGGGTTGCCCATCAATCCTTCCTTGGACCCAAACCCGAACCCAGACCCCTAAGGTTTAGGGTTTAGGGTCAACATTACACCCTAAATCTGCAGCCAAAGAAAATCTAAATCTTAACATCCTCAATGCCAGACGCACGAAATCCGGACCTTAAGCCGTAAAGCTAAGTCCTGAAACCCAAATCCGAAGGCCTAACAAGCTCGGACGGGATGCCCGAAACCCTGAAAATTAAGACATAAAGCCTACCTAGACCCTCCAATGTAGTGCCTTTTTTGCTAGTCCTAATAAGAGTCCTAACCAAAAAACCATACCAAACCCAAAAAGGTACTACATTGGCGGGTCTAGGTAAAGCCTAAATCCTTGTACAAAGCTGTTTCCTTGCAAGCCAGGGACGCTCTGCCAGTCATGAAGACGCCTAGGCTTATTCGATCAGCAGTGTAAGGTCGGAAGTAAAGTCAGACTTTTCTTGCAATGGAAATGGAAACTATTTTATGCGTATTCAGGGTTCGGGGGTTTGGGGAGTTCCGGGTTTGGGGAATTTTCAGTAGGCCCTGCGTAAACTCTAAACCTTAACCGCGTGAGGGCTGGGATGCTAGCACAAGTTCCTCATCACCCTCATTACCCAAAATTGTAACAAACCCGTTAGCTATCTTGCAAGGAAAGCCTGAAGCCCACCCCGGCACACCCTACATGCTTAAGAGCCTATGCCCCAACCGCTCAATGCTAGAGCCCTAAGCCCTAGACTCCAAATCCCAAACCCCAAACCCTACACCCCGAAATCCTAAACCCTAAACCCGAATTGCGCAACCCTAAACCTGAAAACCCTAAACCCCTCCCAAACCCTTAGATCCCAGGCTGCATCAGTCTAAAGCCCCTGGGCTGCAACCCCCAAGGTGGAGCCCTTTAAAACCCCCAAAACATGGCCCTAATGGTTCCGGGGCCTTAAGGTTTAGGGTTTAGGATGTGGGGGTTCAGGGTTTGGGGCTTAGGGTTTAGGATTTAAGGTTGGGGTTTAGGGTTCTTTAATTCCAGAGGTATAGCTCTCAACCACTAAAGCCTAAACGGTTTAGGGTTTGGGGCTCAGGAAACCCTTAGCCCCCCTACCCTGAACTCCCAACATCCTAGAACCGCCCAAGCCCTGAACCTCAAGTCATTTTCCCAATAGCAATCATCAAAAATGTATCAGCAGTTATTACAATCCCTCGATAAAGCCACTTTACAACAGTTTCTGGGAGGGGGAAAAACCTAGCCCAAGCCGGAATCCCGAAACCCTCGCCCTAACCCTACAAAACCCCGAAGCCAAAAGCCCAAAACCCCCGAAATCCAAGATAGGCTCTAGGGCTTAATCCCGAAACATGGCTTCTCCAAGCCAAGGTGCTGTGTCGCCCAATTCAGGCGTTTCTGCAAGTCTTCCCTTGGGGTTGAGGGGTTGGCCCGAAACCCTAAACCCTGATATAATTCTTACTCTAGAACTACTCGTAGTACGCATGGCTTACAGCTGTGGGTTCAGGCTCAACGAACTCCTAGTATCCCCCTAAATAACCTTAAATAGTCCCTATATAATCCCCACAAGCCCCTTGAAGGAGTTTACTGTTGTGATGCCACTAAAAAAAATCACCCGTCCAGATCTTCTTGTTTTGCGTTTTTGGCTTACGGGAGGGGGAGGGGGGGGGGCGCAATAATACATCGAGGGGTTGGGGTAGGACCTGGTAGCGCAGTTCCTAGTACTGTACTTCTAGTACAAGTAGAAAGGAATCTATCAAAATCGGAGATTTTTGGGCGGACAATATTATTATCGCCAATCCCTTGTTATTGCCGATGGATCTTGTTTAGACTCTTTCGGGCTCCGAACTTGCTAGAAACCAAACGCTATCTCACGAGATTTTTCGGGCCAGGCAAGACAGTACCATTGCCACCCACTGTATTAATGGGTTCTCAACATTAGACTATAGCTCATATGAGGTTCCAGGAATAAGGTTTAGGGCCCCGAGTGGGTATAGGGTTTGGGTATAGGGTTTGGGGTTGGGGTTTCTGGAAAAAGGAGCGGAATAGAGAACTTTTGCTTTTGCTTGAACGGAATAATTTCAAGGCCAGCAAGGAATAATCGAGGGCAGGACTTGATCCCGGCAATGTAGAGTTCATTGATAGGACCCGAGACCCCTTCCCCAACAAGCTTGCCAAAATTGATTGGGCAAGTCCGGACTGTTTAGACTCGCTACTTGTTTGGGGGGGTTATTAAGCAGAACTGCCCTTTGAGAGCCTCCAGGGGTCCAAGTAGAGGATTTGGGGCTGGGTTAAGGATTTCGTGGTTCTGGTGTAGCGTTTCGTGATGTCGGTTTCGGGGTCTTGGTTTGGGCGAAATGGAACTCCCAACAGATTAAGGTGGATGGTGTATAGCAGGGACTGAAAGAAACGATCTCCATGGCAGTCCCTACCCAGACCCCCTAAAGGATCCAAAAAATCGACCCCCCCCCCCCCAATATGAACCTGTTACTACATTGGGGAAACTAGGGGATTGTTAAGGGGTTCCATTTTTTGGATCCTTTAGGGGGCCTGGGTACATAGTCGCCACAATAGTTCCTTCTTGGAGGAGGGGGACTTAGTAAGTAACGTAAGTAATGATGGGGATAACCAAAGTTGACATTTGGATTGCAGGCCTACTAGCCTACTTGCTAAGCACCACTGACCCTCTAAGTACAATCCATGAGCAAATTCCATACTGAGAAGCCATCAACCCTAAACCCTAAACGTGAAAATACTTTACGCTTTTCATCCCCTACCCCACACCAGGGAGAAATGGGGCCTCTGGAAGAAAGCCTTCTCCTGCCAGAAGCGCATGATTAAGGGCATTTTCAGGTTGGGAGTTCCCAGGTGAGTACCCGTAAGGAAGGCCTATTGCATGGGAAGAAGAGCAGGTATGTGAGCGCTATACAAGGCCTTCATAGGGGAAACTCTCCACTGAAATTTGCTTACGTTTGCGATATATACTCTCAGAACTACCCTTGACCCCAAAACCTTCAGTGTTTGGGTATTGCTTGGGCCCCTGAACAGCCAAGAGACTCGTTCTCGCGATGCCGCTCGCGCTCCTCTGCCAGCCTGTTGTTTAGCTGCTGGGCCATTCGTGGAGGTTCGGATAATGAAGGGGCCTACATCCTTGGAACAAGATTTGTGGCACCTTCATTTTGTAGATAGAAGAATTGCTGGCAATTCTTCTGGCTGACTTTGCAGCTTTGATATTTGAATTGCCTAATGTTTTTGGGACTCGAGTCCGGGGCATTGCAGCTACTTTTGCATGATATTAAATAGAAGCTTTCTGGACTTTTCACAACTAGGTTCCTAACTGGGATACTTCCAACCCTGTGGATACTGCGACATGAGAAGGACTGGCCTCCAACACCTTTAGCTGCTGGTGATGGAAGGGTACTTAGACTACAGGTCCATTGGTACTCCACAGTCGGGAGGGATTATAAGTACCCACAGCTGTGTAACCATGTTTGTCCTACTTGTAACCCACTTTTACTCATGAACCTCCAAGTGAGCTGTAGTCTAAACTCCTAGTATCCCCCTTAATAAGCCCTATAGTAATGCCCTGTATAACTCCCTATATAGCCCTCTTTAAGGAGTTTAGACTATGGCTCAAGTGACTCTGGAGGCTTGAGGTTCAGCGAAGAGGGGTTTGGAGCATAAGGCCTCGCCTCGAAAGGGGCTGAGGGTTTAGGGTTAAGGGTTTCGGGCTTGAGTTTAGAGTTTGGGATGTAGACCTCTAAGACTACCTGTGACCCTAACCACCTACAGTTCAGTAGTACTTACCACTTGATTAAATTGGTAGAGCCCATAAAGCTGTAGGTGATTGAGGTTACAGGTAAGGACACCAAATTTCAGCGGGAAACCCTTCCCCTACACTGATGAGGAGATTCTATTAAGCATCCCAATAAACAGTCAAAGGATAGTCGGTGCCTTACTATACACCCCAAACCCAAAATATCCCTGTACCTCTCTACATTACACCCCGGAACCAAAAACATAAGCCATCCTCATTGCGGCAAAAGTTTAGGATATTACCTGTCTAGAACTTGGTATTCCCACCAAGCCTGCAGGCGTGTCATACCACACTTTCCGTTTCATGCTCCATTCTCTGTTAGATCTGATTCTCCAATTTTCTATCCCCAAAACCCTATCAACAACATAACCCTAAACCCTAAACCCTCAAACCCTTAAACCCTAAACGCTAAAGCCTAAACCCTAAACCCTAAAGCCCTAAACCCTATGAGGTGACAATGCCAGTGCTTCAGGCCCATCGACTTAGGTGGATATAGCACAAACCCTAAGCCTTAAACCCTGAACCCTAAACGAGCTTAGTACAACCAACATAGGAATTAATTGCCTCCAGACTGCAGGATATCAGCTGGAATTCCCCTGGTTTTCGCCTACATAGACCCTCAACCCTACGCCCTACACATTCCAATATAATATATACCCCTATGTATCCCTATATATGTAAATAGCTATATATATATACCCACATCCCCCCTCTATATGTATATACTTACACATATACATACATATGTATATATATATATACCTCTATATATATATACATATAGAAATATGCATAAAGGTAGTTATATGTAAATTCGCCATATATCCCCATTCCTCATGCCCATCCAACGCTGAGCTGCTGGGACTCAGCAGCTTTCAACTTGGCGAGCAGCGCCTTCGTACGAGCGGGCTTCAGGTTGAGAGGTTTAGGGTTTTAGGGTTTTAGGGTTAGGGCTTAGG